GAAAGCGCTCTTGGCGACTTATGCACCTACTTTATCACCCCCTTCATTTGATAGTGGCAAACACGGGACACTGCGAGTCCGCCTTGAGAACATCGGAAGGCGCACTTTCGCTTTTGCTGGCCCAAGAATCTGGAACGCCCTTCCTGTCGCTCTTAGAAACAGCCAGACACTGCAGCCTTTAAAAACTAAATTGAAACCACGTCTTTTTCCCACTCTCCTTCTGGGGTGATGTAGTCTTTCTCCTTGTTTACAGCTTGCTCATATTAATCGATGTAGATTTTGTATTGTTGCTTTTTATATTTTATTTTTGAAAAAATATAAATTGTAATATATGGTTGACTCTGTACCACTGTACCACTCTTCAAGCCTTAATAGAGGAGACCAATTGCAAAACCTGCTAAGTCACTTTTTTTAAATAAATGAGTTATCTATCTTTGCGGTAATTAAGTGGCAATTTACTGTATTGTGTGCATTTAATGATTTAAAAGCGTTATGTAAGTCAAGCATTCAACATATACAAAAATATATAAATGCTATATTCCCCATATAATTAATTTACAAAAACTAATTTTCCTCTAAATATATATATTTTTTAAAAATTACTTAGCAGGGTTTACAAATGGACTCCTGAATTAGGGATTCTGAAATGAACTTTAGTATTATTATATTTTAAAGTTAAAATAGGCTTAATAATTCCAATGATTTTGGTGTTCATAGAGTTGTTGGTGAAATAGTTGAAATACGACACATTGGAAACGACGAAGAGAGAAAGGTAATGTCAAAGTTTGAGACGACAAGTGCAATGAAATCCTTGTGATATGGATGCTTGTGTTTGAAAGGTAAATGAGAGTGGGTGTGACTATTAGTCACGGTCAGCCATGGTCGACTAGGGCCAGCCAGCGTTGTGGGAGGGGCTAGCGGCTATAGCCACGGTTGAGAGAGGGCGTCCGCTTCGGCTAGTATCACACGGGGGTAGGGTTGCGGAATGTAGAATTAATAGGTTCTTAAAAGATTTATCGCGGTACGAGACTGTTAGCATTGTTTCAGGGTAGAGCTCATCTCTTTGTGTGGGATACCACGCTGACCTTACCGTATATATTACCAAGTAGGAAAAACCCCGTTGGTGGCGTAGATTGATTTAAGCGAACACCGACTTTAAGGTCAAGCAATGCGAGAGGGGGCAAAGACTAGATGAGGCCATTGAATATTAGGGTCAGGAGACGGGCGAGCAGATAGGTATATATATAGCGACACCGTTTTGGGAGACCACTACTTACCACAGTCCCATACGAAGAACACTAGAGGTTAGAGAGCGGGTGAAGACTCAGATTTGGACCAACCTTGCGCCAGTTTTGTCATAGTCAACATAGAGATATGAGTGTATGTAAGGTGTGTGCATAAAGAAGCTTTAGGGTAGTTTGTGTGATTGATAGTTATGTTAGGTAGACGCTATTAGTTTAGAAGACTACGGTAAGTATCTAGTTGGGGCTTAGGATGGACCACAAGCTTAGGATGGACCACATGGTGATAGCTACGTTAGGTAGACGCTAGTAAGCTAGAAGACTACGGTAAGTATCTAGTTGGGGCTTAGGATGGACCACATTGTGCAGGTAATTTACTAATACATTTAAGGAATAGTCGCCCTTTATTGTCATCAACACTAGATACTAGAAGAAGATGAATCATCACAAGCACTTGGTCGTGAGACAGAATGTGCATAGATCCCTACCGGGCCACGACAAGACGCTGAACAGAAAACAGTCACACAAGAATCCTCCATAAGACTCCGTAGCGTTTATGGAGTCATGTTAAATTGCCGGTATTGTTCTTAGTCTGCAGATGTGCTTTGAATGATTGTAGTTAAAGGACAATCATCATAATTGTCTTACAGCAGGGGTCTCAAACTCAAATTAGCCGGGGGCTGCAGGAGGTAGAGTCTGAGTGAAACTGGGCCGCATTAAGTAATACACACATAAAAGTGGTTACAAATTCAACTGCAGCTGTTACAATCTGCTCAAACTTTATTCATAAAAAATAGAACATTATGGGTTTGTCAAGAACTAGGCTTCTCTTACTTACTTCTTCTACTTGTTGCTAGAGACCTGGTGGCGCTTCTTCTTACAAAGCTGAGCAACAAGTGGCTTGAATGAGGAAATATCTGAGACCAACAGTATAGATTGAAGTTGTTCCTCATTAAGTTTGGCCCTGTACTTTGACTTGTTAAATTTCAAAGTGAGAAGAGCTTTTCACACAGATACATACTCCCAAAATGGCACATGATCCGCTTGAACAGACTGAATATCTCAGGGAAAGTGGAGGGCGATTCTCTCATACATTGTCCAAGCTTTTCTGTTTTTCTATTCACCTCCCTGAACTTACCCTGTAGTTCAGAATCAGCTCCATTTGAAGCACAAAAAATGGGGGCGAGTGGGGGGGGGGTGCATCTTCCACATTGAAGGAGAAAGGGTCAGCAAAAATATGAAAAGTGGCTGTGTGTGTTCTGAAGTCTGTAAACCTGTGATCAAATTCTTCCTGTAGCTTTTCAATGGCATCAGTATACTTACTACTGAATATTCTGCCCGAGTCTATGAGTACTTTGCATGTTGGGAAATTGCACAGATTTCTCTCAGAAAGCTTGGCTTACTGTAACGGACTATGAAAACAGAGAGGTAGCGTGAGTGAACAGTGAATTGTGTTTACCAGGTTTTTCCACGAGGAGAGACAATCAATGGATTGTATTTTTGAGAACAAATGTGAGCTCCACGTTTTTGGAGAGTAAAATTATGTTTTTGTCAGAGCGGTCGTTTTCCACGCTTTGCTGGTAATAAAGTATGAGTTGACTGAGATAGTCAGAGCTGAGCGCAGAGCAGTAGAGAGCAGTAGAGTTAGAGCTGAGTTACGAAACAGTTGAGCTGAGTTATAGTAGTGTGAGGACGTGTCTTTCTGGATGGTGGAATACTATAATATATACATGTGAAATTATTACATTCATGCAAGGATTATTATTATTATCAGTGTCAAGTGTGATTCAATAAAGTACTGTAAGGTTTAACCAGAATTGAGTATTCTTCTTTGCGTGCCTGGATAATAGTGGAAGAACGAAGAAGTCTTAGTCGGCATCCTGAAGTATTAACATAAGTAACCATACTACTGACATAACCCACAGCATAAGAAATAAGATCCCACGCCATGTCAGAGTAGATGTGTTACACTTACCATAGCTCACGTTTTGGGCAGAATGCTATGACATTGTCATAGGCAACACTGACAAGCTGCCCTGGCCTTGTAAGTCTTGTTAAGTACATTCAACTCCTGTTTAATGTCAACAAGAAAATCCAAGTCCATAAACTATGTGGGATCATTTAGTACAGGAACAACCACCCCATCCTTCTCCATAAAGGCTTTGATTTCTGCTCTCAACTCAAAAAATCTTTTCAAGACGTTTCCCCTACTAAAACATCGTAGCTCGGTGAAGTAGATAAAAATCCTCATATGCTGACTTTATTTCCTTTAAAAAGACATTGAACTGACGGTGCTTCAAGCCCCTGGATCTGATATGGTTGATGCATTTCAAAACGTCAGACATCACATTGTCAAACTTCAGCATTTTCTGCAAAGGGCCTGCTGGTGGATAATGCAGTGTAGCAATAGCATCCTCCAAACCCTCCTCTTCCAGTTTTCTTTGAACATGTGCCACGAGTCAATTTATTTTCCATGTCATTGATGGCGCTTCGTCGATTGTTTTCCTGCATAATTTTTCTATTGTAAGCCGGCATCAACATAGCTGGCGGAATATCTCCCCAGCAGTGGTCTGACCATGCATTGGAATCACTTTGAGCAATTCCCTCATCACTTCAAAATTAGCATCAACACCACGTACATAGATTGCGAGCTGCTGCAGTGTCAGTAACATCTAAGCTCTCATCAAGAGCGACTGAGTATATATGGACATGTTTACCTTTCTCGCACAGTTGATCATAAATGTCACCTGACAGCTCAGAAATGCGCTTTGCCACTGTGTTGACAGAAAGGCTGATGCTGCTAAACTGACCCTTACTTTCCGGACAGACTAAACGTGCAGTTTGTAACATGCAATTTTTTTATGAACTCGCCTTCTTTGAATGACTTCCCTGCCTTAGCAATCATCTCAATCCCTTCGTATCTAGCTTCAACTGCTGCATCCCTTTCTTTGTTGCCTTCTTGAATAAATCATGCTGTCTGAATAGACATGTTTTAAGTTTAGCAACCCGGGCCTCTCTCTCATCTCACTGGTATCTTGCATACTCCTCAGCATGTCTGGTTAAATAATGACGTCTGATGTTTGTTATTTTTAGTCAAATCGAAGACTTCTTTTGTTTATTGTATGTCTATTGTGTTTCCTTGGCCACGTTAAAACAAGGTGGTGTCAGAGCTAGTGTAGAATTTAGACCTTAAATAAAGGAGCACGTGACAGTGACAAGGGATCATAAGAGATCCTGTTCAAATCTTACAATGATTAACGGCTATTTGTTCCCTTGACCTACGTTTAACTGTCTTTCTAGTTGTTAACTCTTCTAGATATCGGACATTATTCTCAAATTGTACATTTATGTAGACCCCATTTTTCTCAAAAATAATTTTATTTATTTTTCTCAAAGATTATTTAATTGTTCACTTGTTTGAAAAATTCGCGGGAAATATTTATATTACTGTCATTTTTCAGAGTAAGGGAGCATCACATTACCGTTATTACTGGTTGTATACCTCGTTTTATACATTCTAAGGCTAGTTGAGGCGTGTGGGACAGGTGCTTTTGTTTGAGACGTGTGGGCCAGGTGAGATTTCGTGTGGGGTGTAGGATAGATAAGTTTCCATAATGTAGGGACAGTCGTTTGATACACCGAGAACAACAACTTGACAATGCCATTACTGTCTAATTAAAGATTTTGTCTTCCGTGCCGGTGACATAAGCCATCAATAACTGTGACTCTATATAAAGGAAGGAAGTCGGTGAAATCGTTACATTGCAAAGAATAGTGAAGTCGTAGCTAACATGATGATGAAATTACTGAGCATAACAGCTGGCGTGGTGTTGGTGATGTGCATCATACAACTGGGTAAGTCTATACAAATAGTCGTATTCTATACGCTTATCCAATGTTTTCACAAACCGAACATCCACTAAAAGAAATTACTCTCTCTCACTCTCCCCCTCATTCTCTCTCACACACAGGCTCACTCCCTCACTCTCTCTCCCCCATTCTCTCTCTCCTTTTTTTCTCTCTATAGCAGTCTCTTTTCTTAAAGTTGTATTTTATTAAGGGTAACCACTTTGCACTCCTTGCTTTCATTTAATTCTGTTTTACTTCCCCTGATTCTATCACATCTTAGTTTAAGTTCAACGTAATCTCTTCAAGCTAGATGCCAAACTCTAAATTTAATATAATTCAACTTTCAGGAAATGACGCTGACGCTCAGCCAGCTGGGAAGCCTGGAGGTCCAGGGGGACCCGGGCACCCTGGGAGACCCGGGGGCCCTGGGAGACCTGGAGGCAATGAATGTAACCGACCCTGTACTCTTGAACGGGTCCCAGTCTGTGGCAGTGACGCTAAAACCTACTCCAATGGTTGCGCACTCAATGCCCAAAACTGTGGCAAGCAGGCGAACGCGAAGATAACTCAGGCGTACACGGGCGAATGTAGGGGGCGACCCAAAGGGGGTCGTCGAGATTAACCAACAGTGTTGTTGTCAATCATGAACGACAGTCGAGAGCATAACAATGAATGAATCATTGTAGAGTTGTAGTTTTATCATAATTGGTATCAAGAAATAAGTAGAATACTTGAATTATTAAGAAAATATTTACAAAAAAATACAAAATTTTTAAAACTTTGTTGTTAGAATTATTTGATTCCATGTACACTTGAAAACTTGGCTAATACACGTGCTGTTGTTTTTTTTTTTTTTTTTTGTTGTTGTTTTTTAGTTTTATTTGAGAAGTTGATTGCTTGGTTTTTTTTTAACTTCCAAGTCGCGTACTTTTCTGGACTTTCTTTTTAAAATATCATTTTTCCAGATTCATTTTCTTTTAAATAATGATCTAATTAGACAATCCCGTATGAATACGAGTGACACAATCACAATCAGGTTTATGATAATGCATGCAAGGCATAGAATTAGAAGGCGTGCCATGGGAAAGGTTTTTAAAAATTATAATTGTATGTTGACTTTTCAATAAATTATTGAAATTATATGTTATAAACTATGCAAAGATTTTGTTTATTCATTTGTCCGACTGTGAGTTGTTTGTTGCCATTTGGTTGTGTGTTTCTTTGTTGTTTGTTAGCTAGTTGTTTTTGTGTGTGTTTGCGCGCACGCGAGTGTGTGTGAGTGTGTCGAGTTTTCTTGTTTTTATGTTGCTTGCTTGCTTGATTTTTGTGTTTCCCAGTTTGTTTGGTGTATTCTTGATTGATTGTTGTGTGCTTGTTCGATTGTTGTGTTAAGTACCTGTAACTATCTACAATGGGAACATTCAACCAACGGGTCAGCGTTTTTGACTGATTGCGGCCAGTGGGGAAAACCAGAATAAGTTCCGCCCTTGAACTTTGACCTATAGGTAGAATCTTATGTGTTTTGACTCCAACTGAAGGTAGTTACGCCCTGCAACTTAAAAAAAAAGATTGATAATCTTAATGACCCCAGTAGTTGATAATCTTAATGACCCCAGTAGTTGATAATCTTAATGACCCAAGTAGTTGATAATCTTAATGACCCCAGTAGTTGATAATTTTAATGACCCCAGTAGTTGATAATCTTAATGACCCAAGTAGTTGATAATCTTAATTACCCCAGCAGTTGATAATCTTAATGACCCCAGTAGTTGATAATCTTAATGACCCCAGTAGTTGATAATCTTAATGACCCCAGTAGTTCCCAAACAATCAAATAATGGGTCACTTTAAATTTAAATTTTATGTAATTTTGTAACCTTAATAAACATAAATTATCGATCCGTGTAACAGCATCATGTAGTAAAATATTACTAGTACTATAGTGCAGTAGTATAGTGTTTTAGCATGAAGCAGTGATACAGCGCTAGGTATGGGTGCTGGGTGGCAGAGCGGTCTGAATAGAGCGGTCTGAATAGAGTCAAAGCCAAGATTGTGGACTGGAGCTCAGTCCTCGGCAAAAGCCAAAGACAAGCAAAAACGCCACCAGCACCACTGGTGGATGGGACAAAAACGCCACCAGCGCCACTGGTGGATGGGACTCGTTAACGTTTCTTTGCCACTCATCAAGGACATACTCTGAAATCAAACCCGGAGATGGAGTCACGTAGGTGGTATGACATTGACACGATGAAGATTCCGAGAATTTTTGCGACGCTTTGTTGCCAGGCTGTACCCTCCACATATTATGTTCCCTTGCAGATAAAGAGAGGTGATTTGCTGTCCAGTGAACCAGGTCATTTGCTAACATCCCAGGCCTTGTGTGCCTGTTCGCAACTTTGTGACAGCCTAGTTTAATAATGAGAAACCCCTGTTACCTAGAAAGAAGAATAGTACCGTAATTTAGTGCAGTAGTATAGTGCAATAACATAGTGCAGTAATTATTAATATAGAATATTAATATCGTTATTTATAGTATTAATACGGTGTAGAAATAGTGTGGAATTTTCAGACCTGGGTAGTCGACCTAGGCGGTACATGGGTGGGGTGTGGCCNTATGGAAACTGACCAGGGGTTAGATAATGACCATTAAAACGGCGGGAGACGTTAGAACAACAAATTGTAGTATAAGCCGGACCTGGCGGAGGCGCGGCAACTGACCAGCTGTTGTAGCTTAGTGGATAACATGGTGGCGACGAAATTGGGGACGCTATGTGATGGCAGGGGTTGGATAATGTCCATTTAAACAACGGGAGGCATTAGAAGAAATGTTAGTACCAAAGATGTAGCAAAAGATTAAGGCAATGTGGGGGGGGGGATCTCTTGTGACTCAGCAACCAATTGAGGGACTTATAAAAAGGGACCTTAAGATAGGACTGACCAGAACTCAGCCGGACAGGAAAGCGGACACTCGGGGAGAGCTCCGACGGGTTGAGGACAGTCAGAGTTGAGTGCGAGGTAAGATAAAGCCAAAGCGAAGTAGCAGATCAATAAAAGAACAAGTCTATAACCATCGCCTGGGCTGTCTGATTGGTGAAATACGAGATACAGATTGAAGGTACAACAGAGACGAAACGAGGCTCTCCACAATATTGTGTAACAAAATCATGCTGACCTATAATACTAAACATAAGAGACTCATTATAAAACTACAATTACTACTGAAATCAGTAAAAAAAAAAAAAAAACATTTCGCCTAATAAATAAGTTCAACATACATTCAGACAGTGGACTTGTGTGTCAACAAAATCTTCCTATTTTACCCGCGGTTCCTTGGCTGTCAGCTAGGATTCTCACACGCCTCCCGTTAGAATCAGTGGTGCGTACTCCCGCTGAGAACCACTTGTTTACATTCACATTGAGAACAATTTTTAGCGTTATTTCTCGTTGAGAATCATCGGTGTAAATTGCCGCTGAGAAAAAAATACATAAAAAAAAATGTCTTTACCTGCGGATAATGACCGCCGTCACGGATATCTGTGGGTATATTATATATGTGTCCCATGAATCCACAAGCATAAGCAAGTACCAGAACACGGTGTGTGTGTATGCTTCATATCAAAAGACTGGACAATAAAAGAAGAACATATTGGCTAATAGCTTTCGTCGGCGTAAAAAAAAAAGGGGGGGGGGGGCGAACGTGAGGTCAATCCTGGGCGGCATTTTTTTCTCTCTATATTAAGGGGTGTCATTTTCGGCCAACTATAAAGATGTGTTCATAGGAAGGGTTGGTAAAACAGTTAGCTATTCCACGGCATGAACCGTATTTGTCCTTGTACAATTCAAACATATGGCCTTTCTGTATTCATTTTAGGGTAACAGTTTAGTTTTGACAACCTGTTTCAGTGATATTGAATAACAAAACAGTAAAATTTAATCGTTATAGACTCAGAAAATGAAGAGCAGGTAAAGGTTAGGGGGCAACGACTTGGTCGGAAAGTAAGAGGTTTATTGCAGTATTGGTTGCATCTAGAAGCATGATAGAAAGACCCTCTATTGAGTGGATGATTCATTGGTTACGTTTCGTCCTTGTTACCGATATAGTGCTTGGTAGAGATTACAACGCAGACGACAAAAAATCTCATATTGACATGGTCTTGGACGTCAAAAAAAACCATCATATTGACATCGTCTTGGACGTCAAAGAAACCATCATATTGACATCGTCTTGGACGTCAAAGAAACCATCATATTGACATCATCTTGGACGTCAAAGAAACCATCATATTGACATCATCTTGGACGTCAAAGAAACCATCATTTTGACATCATCTTGGACGTCAAAGAAACCATCATATTGACATCGTCTTGGACGTCAAAGAAACCATCATATTGACATCGTCTTGGACGTCAAATTACAGGTCAATAAAAGCATTCAATGTATATTGAGAACCTCTGTTACCGAGAAAGTTACAGGTCAATAAAAGTACTAAAAGTAGATTGAGAACCTGTGTTACCGAAAAAATGTTACAGGTCAATAAAAGTACTAAAAGTAGATTGAGAACCTCTGTTACCGAGAAGGTTACAGGTCAACAAAAGCACTAGATTTATTGCCCTTCCAGGACTGTGGCAGTCCACGGTGTCAGTGATGTTTCCTTGTTGTTGTCATCATGACATTACTCATGGCTTACAGCCGTTATAAAAACAATGGTTGCAGTGGGTAAAGAGAGGAGCTCGTCTTAATCCTGGGTTTATCGATATTTTCTGCCTTAGCTACTAAGGGTAAAGGGACCCTCCATCAAGTTCATCACGCTCCGCTAGGTGGGAGGGGGGTCTGATAATGTGTGACAGTTGTGGCAGGAAAGTGGAAGGGGGGGAGGAAAAATCGTATGGGACATCACATATCTTTTGATCATACAAAATAACATAACCTTAATTTGAAAGTGATATTTAACTTCTGTGATGGATGTATATGAAGATGTCACTAAGTGGTATATGGTAATTATAACATAAGTTAAATAGAAACATGGGTTTAAATTAAGATAATAGGTTAAAACTTTTAATATCGCACAAAGGTTTACAAAGTTTTAATATCACACCAAGGTTTACACAGTTTTAATATCACACCAAGGTTTAAAAAGTTTTAATATCACACCAAGGTTTAAAAAGTTTTAATATCACACCAAGGTTTAAAAAGTTTTAATATCACACCAAGGTTTACACAGTATTAATATCACACCAAGGTTTAAAAAGTTTTAATATCACACCAAGGTTTACAAAGTTTTAATATCACACCAAGGTTTAAAAAGTTTTAATATCACACCAAGGTTTAAAAAGTTTTAATATCACACCAAGGTTTACACAGTTTTAATATCACACCAAGGTTTAAAAAGTTTTAATATCACACCAAGGTTTAAAAAGTTTTAATATCACACCTACGTTTAAAAAGTTTTAATATCACACCAAGGTTTAAAAAGTTTTAATATCACACCAAGGTTTAAAAAGTTTTAATATCACACCAAGGTTTAAAAAGTTTTAATATCACACCAAGGTTTACAAAGTTTTAATATCACACCAAGGTTTAAAAAGTTTTAATATCACACCAAGGTTTACAAAGTTTTAATATATCACCAAGGTTTACACAGATTTAATATCACACCAAGGTTTAAAAAGTTTTAATATCACACCAAGGTTTAAAAAGTTTTAATATCACACCTACGTTTAAAAAGTTTTAATATCACACCAAGGTTTACACAGTATTAATATCACACCAAGGTTTAAAAAGTTTTAATATCACACCAAGGTTTACAAAGTTTTAATATCACACCAAGGTTTAAAAAGTTTTAATATCACACCAAGGTTTAAAAAGTTTTAATATCACACCAAGGTTTACACAGTTTTAATATCACACCAAGGTTTAAAAAGTTTTAATATCACACCAAGGTTTAAAAAGTTTTAATATCACACCTACGTTTAAAAAGTTTTAATATCACACCAAGGTTTAAAAAGTTTTAATATCACACCAAGGTTTAAAAAGTTTTAATATCACACCAAGGTTTACACAGTTTTAATATCACACCAAGGTTTACACAGTTTTAATATCACACCAAGGTTTACACAGTTTTAATATCACACCAAGGTTTACACAGTTTTAAT